AGATGGTAGATGGCCAACAAGGCGCGTGACGCTGAGTTGGCTATAATCATCTCATACCAAATAAGCGCGAGTGGAATAATTGTTTTATTATAAACGCCCACAAAATATCGATGAATCTCCTCGACTTTATTTTGTTAGAACAAACCGGAAAGGACAAGGGACGCTTTTCACATGTTACACATCTTTTAAAACTGTCAACGCGCGAACGGACTTGATAAATGAAAAATCAAAACATTATAACGATGAACATTTTAAAAAAGCCGTCGTGATTCTAGGATTTTTCACAGCAGGACAGCTAAAAATACTAGCAGATAATGAGAACAAAAAGAATTTTGAAGTGCAGCCGTCGAAATTACTGTGAATTTGGATTTTTGGTGCAGGAGTATAGGTAATCAGATCAGGGGCACCCAACGAGAACATAGTTCAAAACCACTTAAACATGGCATTGTTAAACGTATTTTAGTGTTTAAACGGTAGATGTAAGTATATTTTTATCCCCTAAAAATTTTTCATCAGTTCGGATTTCTTAGCTGAAAGTCTAGTGATCCGAAAATTATAGGGATAAATACTTACCTTTTCGAAAATTTTTGCCAGAAAAAAGGCTTCCGAAAATTCTGGGTGACCTTTTTAGGGTTAATGTCACTTTTCCCCTTAAGATACGCATGAAAAAGCAACACAACTAAATAGCGCACGCAGGCAAATAAGACAATTACTACAAGATGGCGTAATAAAGGGGGGACACAGCCCTGTGGCAGGTTCTAGCGACTTCAGGTAATGCGCACAGAAAAAACACAAGCCTCACTTATCGCCCCACTACCGTGGGGCAGGACAAGAGTATTGGTAGAGCCTTTCTTATCTCCCCAGCGCCGCACGGGCTGGATCGGACAAGACTAAGGCAAATGAATAAGATGGCAAGACACAAGCAATTCCAAAAGCTTGGGGGAAGTCGCAACGCAGACTTAACGGCCACAGATGCATGGAATGCATCCTCCCAAGCAACCCAAACAAAGTCTAAATAAAGTCCCCTGACACACTAGCCATTTGGGAAACAGCAGAGAGCACGACAGCTTGAGGAGTATGAATATAAATCTGGTAACAGACCAACAACCAACGATCTCGAACACATTTATAAAGCAGTCTGCTAAGCCCTACAGCTGCCGCAGTAGACGCTGTGCCTATGTAAAAACTATGGCCTTTAAAAGTAATGTATGGGAGTCCAGCGCGGCAAGCAGGGACCCGAAGTAGTTAAGTGACAAAGGGCTGCTGCGTAAGTGCCCAACCCGACTGAAAGTGAAACAGTGCCCAGACCGAGGCTGGGCAAGCATAAATAACGTTGTATCAGTGGAAAAAAGAAAAAAGGGCACAGTAAAGAGCACAAGCTATTATGAGAGATTGCCCCGTCTAAAACTGCCAGTTTGATTGACGTAAGCCTAAGACACACGTCCTGCGGGCAAGCCAGACTTGGGGAGAAAGTCACGCAATCGGTGCAGAGGCTAAACTGAGAATTAAAACTACGAGCCCCAGGGACATTAACTTGCTACAACAAGGAATGCGAAATAGACTAGCGTGAATACGGCCCAGATCGTGGAAAAATATACTGGACACCCAATCAGCTTGCCAGGACAGAACACAATAATTATTATTACTAAGCGCAAACCTTGCTTAGGCCTGTTATGGGCTGGCACTGATTTGAGGTGTATCTGCCTGATACGAAAACCCCAAAAACCCCTTGGGGAAAAAAAGGGAACGTATTCTCCCACAAATGCAGGTACATAACCCCTAGAGAAAGGGGCAACCAGTGCTAGCAAAATTCAAGTCAGATCATTTGTAAATGCAGTTCATAAAGTGCAAAGTCAATGATGTATAAGGGAACAGGTCCCAAGGCAGCAACAGAACTCTTGCAATGCAGACGGCAGGCGAACTCTGACATCACACTTCTTGGTGGCAAAGAGAACAAGTGACACAACATCCCACTTGGCCAGTGGAGGCAGAAGGTAAGGGAGACACGGACACTACGTTACCCAGAGAGTCAAACCTCGCGGTTGGATGCAGAGGTACAGCGGTGCAGGCATAGAAGAACAAAATAAAAAGCACAGAGTTAAACTGAGAAGGGATCAGAATAAGATCACCAAATAACCAAAAGAGGCAGGAGTGTTTTTTTTGTTAATTTTTATTTTAAATATGAAAGGAACTGATGAGTAAAAAGTCAGCTATGACTGATAACGTCTGGTGATCGAATTGGGTTATCAAGGAATGGACCACTGACAGATGGCCACAAAAACTTCCCAGCAAAGCTGGATTGGACCCGAGTGGTACTATAATAATAATATAATAAGGTAAGGGGGTACTACAACCCCTACAATTCAGGCCATATCTCTTGCGATAGCTACTCTGTAGTTGTGGTATTCCATTGGCATTTGCACTTTACCCGTCCAAAACAGATTGGAGCCTACTAACAGGGTAAAAATTTGTGTACGCGCTTGAAGTAAAGTTAGATTTG